TTAAAAATTTTATTCTTTATTAGCATCATTTTTGTTTTAGTTACATTAAGACTTAAGGAATTATTATCGAGCCATTTTAATATATTACATATCTCTTCATTTATTATATCGATTATTTCATCTACTTTATCCCCTATTGCATATATCACAGTATCATCGGCAAACAACTGTACCTTACACTTTTTAAAAACATCAACAATATCATTTATATACAGTATGAAAAGAGTAGAACCTAACACAGTTCCCTGTGGCACACCATACAGAGACTTCTGAGCCGATGAAATGGCACCATATTTTGTCACTTGTGTTCTATCAGTCAAATATTCTTGAAACCACTTTAAAATTTTTTCACCAAACCCATACCTTTCCATCTTTCTCAATAGCAGCTGTCTGTTTATGGTTTCAAATGCACGTTTAAAGTCTAAGAAAACCACACCAATCATTTTCCCGCACTCCAGCGCACCCTTCCAGTCAAACAAAACCGTCTGCATTGCACTCACACAGGAATTTCCTCTCCTAAACCCTGCTTGGAATTTAGTTAACACATAATTGCTTTCCAAGTACTCCACTATTTGATCATTTACACATAATTCCAGCAGTTTTTCGTATGGTGGTACCATATTTATGGGTCGAAATTCCTCACACTTAACAGTTCCATGAACCTTCTCAATTGGTACAACCAGTCTTCTCTTCCATTTACTTGGGAATACGCCACTTTCTAGACTACCATTTATAATATGCAAAATTTTGTCGCCTATTACTTTAAAGGAACTCTTTAAAATTTGAACTGTAATACCATCAACATTACTTTGTTTGTTTTTCATTTCTTTCATTTGTTTTTTTAAATCTTTCATTTCTAACATTTTGAATTTTTCCATTTTGCAGTCGACATTTATTGAACTACAAATTTCTTGGTGGGTTTTGTCTGAAATAATGCTATCTGCTATGTCTTTTACACTGTCTAGAAAAAATATATTAAATCTTTCACTTATCTCTTTACCAGTAACCCCCCACCATCAAATATTATTTCACTTTTAGCTTCATGGTTTTTTTTGCCGTTTACAAGCTCCTTTAATGTTTTCCACATTCTTTTTGGGTCGTTCTTACAATCATCTATTTTTTCCTGATAATAATTTTGTTTGGTAATTCTGATTAATGCTACGACTCTATTTCTTTGTTGTTTGAAATCATCCCAGTCAGTATCAGTTTTAGTAAATATAGCCTTTTTGTAAAATTGATCTCTTTTTTTAAATTCATTCGCAATGTCTTCATTCCACCATAATTTATTTCCCCAAACATCCTTCGTATTAATAGACTTTTCTGGAGCAAACTGATCGAGTGCAGACAATACATTAGTTATTAGAATATCAGCATTGTTACTTACATCTACAGAGGAACTTGACGGCCACTGCATATCCATAAGTTTCATTTGAAATCCTGTCACATCCATTATATTGTACTTTCTATAGGTTTTTGTAAGTGTCGTCTCATTGTTTCTTCCCAGATCAGCTCCAATTATCGAGTGATCTGTAATCTTTGGAGTTGGGAGCACCTTGCAACTAATGTCTTTTTGATTTGTAAGTACTAGGTCAATCCTAGTAGATGTCGATTTTGTAATCCTTGTGTATTCGTTTATTAGCTGATAGGTACCATTTTTAATAATAATATCAGTTAATTTCATAGAGTAAAAGTTTATACTTGCCAAATCTATATTAAAGTCTACCAATATCACAAAGATAGCATCAAATCATCAATAACGGGCTAAGGAATCATGAAATGTAAATGAAGAATGCCAAACATATATAGACTCCTACTGGACCAAAACAAAGGAAAACATTGAAGTAGCAGCGAAAGATATAGAAATAGGGACAGAAATTTGTGCTCTTAAACATCATTGTAAAGAATTACCAGACAAAGAGACGAGAAGAAAAGATGATATATTGAAAACAAAACCAATCGAATAAGGAACTAAATATAGAAAAAAACCTCGACAGAGAAAAAAAAAAAGAATTCAGAGTATTCTATAATAAACTTAACATTAACAGAAAAGAACTCAAGGCAACCTAACGACAATGCAGAAGTCAAAATGGCGACCAAATTATAACAAGGAAAGATGTATTCAATAGATGGTTGAAATACTTTAACCAGGCACTTAATATAGAGGAAGAAGAAAACCAGTAAGAAGGAAGAAATGAGGTAATACGAGAGGGAAGAGGAACCATCAACGATTATTGAAGTTAAAGATGCAGTTAAAAAACTAGCTAGAGACAAATCACCAGAAATAGATAATTTCTCAGCTGAACTATATAAAGAAGGTGGCCACGATACCATAATGGCATTACAGTAGCTTATAAAAGAAATATGGACACATAAATCCCTCCCCAATTATTGGAATATTAGATTACTTTGCACCATATACAAAAAAGGTGATATTTTTGAGTGCTCTAATGATAGAGAAATTACGCTTCTAAATACAGCGAATAAAACATTTTCAATAGGGCTACGTCAACGTATGGCACCATAAGCAAAACGAAGAGTAGGAAAATACCAGGCTGTTTTTAGAGATGATAAATCGACAGATTACAACCCTTAAACAAATTTTAGAAAAACACTGTAATATACCATATACACTTATCACATATTTAAAGACTACAAAGCAGCTTACGACTCTGTGAATAAAATCTTAATGTTCAAAACAATAGGAATACCAAAATCAGTTGGTAAATTTAACAAAACTAACTTTTGAAAAAGTTTAATGTAGAGTACGAATTCAAAGGGACCTATCTGAACCTTTAAAAAATAAATAATGGGATGCGCCAGGAAGACCCAGAAGCATACGCCAGAATCTGTCTCTGGGAAAAGTAATACTTATGTCAATATCACAATCATTGGTTTCATCATCATCATTGGTGTTGCAGCCCTATAAAAGAGCCTCGACCTTTCCAAGTCTATTACGCCAGTCAGTTCTATCCATATATAATCATTAGTTTAATATATTAAATCTATATGAAGATATCAATATTGTTTGTAGAATGAAAAACTCTGTACGATAAGCGCATGTAGCTTTAAACTAATCAGCTACAAAAATCAACAAAGCAAAGCATATGAAAATAAAAACGCAACCACAAATCTTACGACCACTTGTTATAAAAAATGGTGTTATCAAAGTAGTGAACGAATTTGTATACCTGGGAGCGCTTAACACTGAAAATAATATTATCGCAGAGATATAAAAATAAAACTCTACAAAACAATAATACACCCAGTCATAACGTATCATATTATGATACTACGTTTGAGGAGAATAGGGCATGTCATGCGGATGAAACAACATGACCTAGCTAAATATGGGAATAAACTTCGCTTCAAAATTCTTATCCACCACTTTCTGCTTTTCCACTAAATGCTGAAAGCAGATAGTAGTAGATTCATGTAACCTACTGCCTCCGTATACCTTTAATATTCTGCAATAGGGTGTGGCAAATGAATCAATCTTTGCCAGTTTTTTAGTTCTCAGAACATTTTCCCGTTTCGAGTCGATCATTCATTATTATCATCATCCTTATCATCGTGGACTATACTCAGTTTATAAGCAATGTATTCTTGATTTTCTACAATATAATGATGTTTGTATTCCGTCTGCAAAGAACAAAAATTTTCAGAGAACTGCAATTTTAGAATATTAAATACGTCTTGATTATTTAAAGCATTAACTTATTACTAAAGTTATATTTTACAAAACAACATAATGTTACAAAAGTAACTAAAGAATTTTAAGACTTAATATTCAGTGGTATATATACATACCACTTAATATTAAATCGTCGGTACATTATATCTACCACATCTTTTAATACATTTTTTAAGCCAACAATAATTAAGGTTAATTTACAGTGGTAATTAAATAAAAATCTAACCACTAATAAATATTTTCAACAATTTGTAAATAGAAATCAGTTGAGCACCCTATAACTTTATAGTAAAAGATTGTAATACTTAGTTTTTTGTCAATTTATAATAGATAGTTGAAAATAGTGGTAAAAAAGGAAGTAAAGACCCACGATTGTATTAAATGCTCTATATTCTCGATTTGTACTACTTGGAGTTTAAAAAATGGCGTTAATCGTATTAAGAGCTATAATAGTTCGTAGGGTTCCTGCCATTGCTATTCCGAAAGAGGTTTTGGTTATTTTAAAAATCTATGAACATAAAGCTACAGAAACAAAAAGTGGTATAAATATTTACCATAAACCTATAAAAGGTCAACCAACTATTTTAAAGTTTCTCTCCTCAGCTAGCCGAAAGATGAATCTAAATTCTACAACATTACACCATTTTGTGTGTTTTTAAGTCAGTAATGTAATTTTCTTCGTGGACCTCTTCTACCCTCAATCCTACTCGTGAGTATAGGTTTTAAGAAAGAGTACCACCCTGATCCACGCTAGACGTGTTCTAAACCAGAAACTTTGTTCACGCTGTGCGCTGTTTCACCACATTCAACAATTCTCGGCCCACTCCAGCCCATCGCAACACCTCCTGATTGTACGAAAAAAAAAACAGGTGTGGCAGTCTAGTGAGACTGCCGGTAGAAGTTATACTTCTATACACGCGTTCGCCGTTACAAATTTATAAGTGAATTAATCTGCACAATCATTACATATGTAATGCTATAGGTAAGAGAGAGCTTAAAGAGAAATAGAATTAGGTATTTGGTGCATCGTTTGCTGTATACGAGTACAAACAACATTTGACCTGTAATAGAAGTATATTAAATGAAGGATTGAATCAATATTTTAATGAAAATGTATATTTTTATTTTCATATATGTATAAAAAGACTTAATTGCAAAAATTTTTTACACATAGTCTGCAGTAAAATTAATTGTTTATTTTGCTATTAATATAAAATAACAATACAATACACTGCAACATAATTCAATATATTAATACATTATAAATTAAAATGCAATATTCATAAAAATGACAATAGACCTAACTTACTTACGCATATGTTTAGTTTACCATGATAATAATATTAATAAAATAAAAATATTGTTCCGTGAGACAACTGTCAATTTGTCTGACATTGACAGATACAAAATTTAATTGTTATTTTTGTGTATATAAGTACACATTTAAACTTTCTTGAGATATTTATGAGTTTTAATTTATAAACTAACATTCCTAACGAGGCTCACGACAAATCTGAACAGAATGGAAAAATAATTATAATATAATTAAGTATTAAGTTAGATATATTTAGAAAAGGAACATTTTTATTCTCGAGAGAGAAAGAGAGGCGCAAAAAGGGTTTGTAGCAGTCCAGTGGGACTGCCGGTAGAAGTTATTGTATATATATATATATATATATATATATATATATATATATATATAATATACATATATATATATATATATATATATATATATATAATATATATATATATATATATATATATAATATATTTATTATTTTATTTTTGGATTTTCAGTATAGTGAATACATCAAGGACAAAAACAGCTGCTAACCAATTTGGTCCTATAACTACTACACTAAATAATTAAAATTTAATTTAAAAGTAAGTAGAGAACATAAAAAATTAATTTAAAACTCATACGCAGTTGCCTCTTGGAAATTTAACGTACTTGTCTGCAATTTCGTTACTAAATAGGTGCAGCAGCATTAAAGGTGGGGGAACGTTACTTCTTAGTGAATCGGATGACTCGTAAGTTACTGAAAAGTTACTGAGTATTTTTGAGTACGCTTAACCCTACCATGTATAATTTTAAGGAATTTTTTTTCTCGTAGAAAAATTATTTGTTGCCAAATATTAAACATTAACATTAGAAAACACTATAATAACTGTAAAAAACATGAAATGTTTTTCTTAAAACCTAAAAAATAGTCCCTTCACTCTAGTAGTCACTATGCATTTGCAGAATCGCGGAAGCGTCAGTTACTGGTATGAAAATATTCAAAGCACGATGGACACAGCGGCTCGTTGCAACTTTTACAAATGTATTTTGTTTTTCTTTTGCAAACTTTAGAGTGATATCTTCGAGAACTTGGTATATCAATTAGTTGTGACTAGTGCCCTCAATTACTTTTTCTAATTTTAGGGGGTGCATGACGATTCGGTTTCTTTTTCTTCAAAATGGGAGGTGGTGTAGCAGACGAAGGTATACCTCGTTTAGTTTCTTTTTGCGTTCCAAAATTTAATAATGCTCTGGCAATTCAAGCATATCTTTTTTGGATTTGCGTTTTTCTTGTACAAAATCGTTGCGTTTATAACAAAAACATCCACAATATGCATATAAACTATTATGAACCAGCGTTTGTTTCTTCTTCTTAGAGGATACACAACTGGTCCATCAGGTATACTCCTACCAAATTTTTGTTATAGAACTGAACAGAAAATGTTATGTCACTTCTATACTAGTCTTTGTAGATTTACATCAGCGTTTTGTTTTATGCTGAGGTTCTATTCTTCTGAGTTTTTCGATAAGCGGAAGTGAGCAAAATAAATTATCAAAAAATACTTTATGATTGATTCTTTCTAAGTAGTCAGTTAGACGCAAAACTACATCAGCACACGCTCGAAGTATACTAATTTAACTTCTGTCTTGCGTAGCTTTTTGGTAAACCTCAAAACGATACATATATCCACTAATTCTACTAGATTTTACCCAAACTTTCACTCCCAATTTTTTAGGTTTTGGTAAGCACTGCTTTATACCTAATTTTCCTTTTGGTTTAATAATTTGTTCATCAACTGATTGGTATTCGTCTGGATCTGTGGCACCTAAGAAGTTTTTCTGAATTTTATTAAGAAATGGGAGGATTTTTCGCAATTTGTCCATGTAGTTTTGATTTACATTATCAATATTTACGAAATGTAAAAAACCTCAAAATAGATTTAAATTTATTAACAGGCAAAGCATTTGCAATAAGATCCATCCTTTGGACATTATCACTTGACCAGTAAAGCCGTATTCTGGGATATCTGATGTACGTCATCACTACATTTATGCCCAAGAAAGCAGATAACTCATATTTTGTAAAACCAAAATTGAACTTATTGTTTTGGCCAGCATATAAATTGGTCTGAAAGACGATATCATTTATTATGTCTGCGGTGAACAGTGATAAAAAATAATCAATGGGATTGTTTCCTTGAACACGTTTTTTTTTTGTTTTTCTAAACTGTGGCAAAGAAGCTGGCCCATAAATGCTATCATTATTGCACCATTTTCAGTCTTTTTTTTTAACTGTTTTTGGTTTTTCCTCTTAAATTTTTTGTTTTAATGAAAATGCCAAAATACGCTGAGCTAATGAAATGCCATCTTCACTCATATCATCGTCACTGTTTCCTGGCTCTATTTCTTCTACGTTACTTTCAACAATTTGTGCTTCAGCCATTACATGTTCGACCAAATACGTCTCTTTGTCATTGTAATCAGATTTCAAATCTGAACATTTTGGTAAATCATAAATAATGTCATCATTGTTAATACCTACAAATTCTTTATTTTCTGGTATGATGTTTTATCCCTATTTTCGTCGTCATTGGCAAAAAGTACTTTCTGAAATAGAATAAAATTTCTCATTGTAGAATTAATAATGTGTCAATAAATAAAATTTATTTATTTCCACCAAAATTATAAAGGTAAGTTCGAAAATCCTTAAATAAATAATAAATCTTTGACAAAAAAATAACAAAAAATATATGAACAAGAAACCTACTACCTCTCTGAAAAATATACGCATAAAACATACCACAAGAGTGAAATTCTAAGTTACATATTGCATAATGTCCACTCCTGTAGACATGAGTTCAAGGTGATATTTTCAGTGTGTTTTTTAATTATTTTAAAATTATGTTAAAGGCTAAATGTGTATAATACATAATTGTATAAGAAAAATATTTTCTTACCTTCAGGTGATATATAGACACTAACATAAACAAACTTTGACTTCCAAAAAGAAATATTGTATATGACGGTAGTAGATATTTGATTAGAGTCCTCTGAAATTGATTTCATGCATTTTGAACAAGTTTCATAAAATTAAAATATATTTTTTACACTTCAAAAAAATCTGTCCATTGAAGTGGACTCAAATCATGAGAGGGTTAAGCTCGGAAATAGTAGCTTTTAATAATTAAGTTTAAGTTTATTTTATACATTATTTTTATTATATATTATTTATCGTTTTTTGTATGTAATGTAGCAGTTCACAGAGTTTATTCTCTCAATAAGGCTGGGATCTTTAAAATGGTAAGGATTTGTAAATAACTGCAGTTAAGCTTTAATAGGATAGGGATGGGAGTATAACAGACCCATACACAATCTTTTCATAGACTTTCGACAGGCATATCATAGCGTACAAAGAAGCCAAGTATGGAATGCCATGGCGGAGTTCTCAATACCAAAGAAACTCATTCGGATGACCAAAGTCTGTATGGAGGGTGGAATATCTAAAGTACGTGTAAATAATAAACTGTCTGGCAGCTTTGAAATCAATAGTGGACTTAAACTGGGTGACGCGTTATCTGCACTACTTTTTAACCTTGTATTAGAGAAAGCTATAAGGTCGGCCGAAATAAAAACAAAATTGCTATCGGTTCAAGGTCCCAAGCTATTAATCGCATATGCAGATGACATAGATCTCGTTGGAGACTCCATCCTATTCACGAAAGACATTTTCAACAAGGTGTTAGGAGCAACAAGTGAAGTAGGGATAAAGATTAATGAAGAGAAGGCGAAATATATGTGTATAAATAGAACGACACAAAGAGATAGAATAGGATAAAATATGATGGTCAGCACCGTCAATTTCGAAAGAGTACAACGTTTTAAGTATCTAGGGGTCGTAATCACAGCTGAAAACGATGTAACTAAAGAAATAAAAGACAGAATCCAATCTGCAAACCGCTGTCTATTTGCACTGTATAAGCTTATAAAATCAAAAAATCTCACAAGAAGTTCAAAGGTCAAAATCTATAAATCCATCGTCAGACCTGTAATAACATACGGATGCGAAACGTGGACTATGACCAAAACAAACGAAGAAAAGTTCAGACGCTTTGAACAAAAAATACTTTCGTAACTTACCATCACATCACCACAAAACCAGTATAAGATCAGAAACAATATCTAATTAAAAGCACTCTACAACGACGCCGATATTGTCCAAGAAATTATATCAGAGCGACTAAGATGGGCAGGCCACGTGCACAGACTGCATAACGAAAGACTTGTAAAACTGGTATGGGAGGAGATTCCCACAGGTAAGAGACCACTCGGACATCCCAGAATGCGATGGAGAGATAACATTCAAGCAGATCTCCGGAAAATGAACATTCTATTTGACCATAGATTGATGAAAGACCGAACAAATTATAAAAAATTGTACAGTCAGCCAAGACCCAAACAGGGTTGTAGCGCTACGTGACGATGATTAAATAGAATACAAGTTCAAGTATATTTTAGTTTATATATCTTTTATATGATTTTCTTATATATATAGATTGTAAATATAGAATATAACTTAGCCAATAAGTTGGGAATTATGTTTTTTCTTTTAATTTTTTCCTTTAGCTCGATGTTACACTTAAAAATTTTGGTTATTAACAATTTTATGTTTCTTCTATTTATGTAGATATGACTCTTTTAATGTGCGTCTGATGCATCGTTTTCGTGGTCGCTGATTGTCACTTTATGAGTAGGAAAGCTACTAAAAAATAGTTAATAGTTAACAAGACATTGTGAAACTAAAAGATTTATCGAATAACTACCCCAATAGGCCCCTTCTAGACTATCCGACTTTGCTACCAACCTGCACGGTAGGATAAAATATTCACAATAGTATCTTATCTTTGATTTCATTCCGATTTGTTATTTCAAATTCGTAACCGGTGTCGTTTACATCAAAATGTAGCACACAATGACAAACAAGATGTTACTACCATAATACACATAAATTATTAGTAAATCAATCCAACAACTT